GGGTGCTTCCAGTGAGGAAGAAGGCTCGGGAACGGTCGAGGGCTCCGGAACCACGGATGATTCAGGAGGAGGAGCGGACGGCGATGGACCTTCAGACGCGGAGTCAGCAGGACTGCTTGATGGAGGCGCGATACTTGTCGGTTGTGGTGCAGCGCTGGAAGACGGAAGGACTGTGCTAGACGGTGCAGGTGCAGCACTACTCGGAGGTGGAGCCGGGCTCGAAGATGGAGGTGGAACTCGAGTACTGCTTGGCGGCGGTGGTGGAGGTGAAGCGCTGCTAGAGGGTGGCGGCGGAGGAGGTCGCGAGCTGCTAGGGGCTGGGATTGCACGAGAAGAAGAAGGTGGAGGGGGAGGCCTACTTGAGGTCGGTGGAGGAGGTGGCGGCGGCGAGCTTGGAGGAGCAGCGGTGGTCGTTGGTACTGCGCTCGTCGAAGGTGGAGGTTCAGACGGAAGAACGACGGACTGCGCTGTCGGGAGGTATATTGATGTTGTAGTTAAGGCTGCTTGTGTTAAGACATACGTGTTACTTCCCACGAAAGATTGACTGGCGTCCGTTGTACCCCCACTGGCTGGGTCACATGCGCTTGGTCCAATGGACTGGCCAAGCTGGGCAATGACGGTTGGCTGGCTGTTAAGGAAGTCGACCACCGTGGGCGCCACGAACGCTGTATTGGGGACGGAGTCGAGAGGTACAATGAGAGACGAATAGAGTGTAGGAGACGACAAGGCAAGGGTTTCTGTATCAATCACACAAGCCGTACCCACCGCCTCGACCTCCAGATGGCTAAAAGTCTCGTAGGCTAGGTACGTCGTAGGATACGTCAGTGGCACGCCTGAATAATCCCATGTGAATGACGGCGGCGCTTGAGACGGTAGTGCGTTGATGGCGAGTGATGAGCTGACGGCACTATTCAGGATATCCGTGTAGATGGTGAGCGTGGCTGTTGGTACCGTTACAGTTTCGGTCACAATCACCCCAGGGTACTCTAATTTGGTCGCGGTAACGTCAATCTGGCACTCACTAGAGCAGGAGATTGATGCAGGTGTCGTGGAAGATGGACTTGGTGTCAATGTTTCCACAATGGTAGTAGGCTGGACCTGGGTGGTGACGAAGGACTGAGTGATAAGAACAGTAGATATGGACGTCGTTGCAGGCAAAGTCACGGTAGCTACCGAGGTGGAGCCAGGAAGAGAAATCGTGCTCAACACTGTCGATCCTGGTAATGTGACAGTCGACAGTACAGTACTTGTCGTAACGCTGCCCGGCAACTGGGTGACTATTGTGGAAGTGACCGCAGGTAGCGTCACCGTCGAAAGGATAGTACTAGCCGGTAGCTGACTAGTCACAACCGAGGTTTCTGCAGGAAGCTGGATGGTAGAAGTGACGACTTCACCAGGTAGAGTGAGTGTAGAAACTACGGTGCTCGCTGGCAGCTGGGAAGTTATCACGGACGTAGTGCCGGGAAGTTGAACAGTGGTAGTCGTAAGTTCGCCAGGTAGAGTGATAGTGGAAAGTACCGTACTTGCGGGGAGCTGCGTTGTGACCGTTGAGGAGACTCCGGGAAGCGTTAAAGTAGTGGTGGTAACTTGGCCTGGCTGTGTAAAGGTCTCCACAACGGTCTCTGGTGGCGATATGCTGACAGAAGTCACCGTGGCTTGCGGGAAAGTTAGAGTCGATACGATCGTTGAAACCACAGTACTAGGCGGAATTTGAGTTGTGATCGTTGAAGTCTCGCCTTCTAACGTCGTCGTAGTTGTGGTGACCTGGGGTGGTAGAGTCAGAGTGCTAAGCTGCGTAGATACTTCTGTGACTGTCTCCTCGACTATCTCTGTGGGGCCTGGAATGGTAACCGGAATGGTGACCGGAACAGTGGTCTCTATCGTACGATCCGATGTCACGACAACAGTCTGTGGAAGAGTTTCCGTAAACGTAGTCGTGATGAATATCTCGGAAAAGACGGTTTCAGTAGTAACACTCGTAGTGCCAGACAGGGTCAGGGTTGATACAATGAATTGTGTTGACGTTGAAGTTGACACGGATGTAGACACGCTCGTCGTCAGAGACGTTGTGGTCACGCTGATCACTTCCGTTGTCGTTGTCGGCGTGAAGCTGATGATAGTCTCAATTGGACCAGGGACCGACACTGTCTGAACCGAAGTCTGAATGGGTCCGGGAACCGAGACGGTTTCCACTGTAGTCTGAGTAGGACCTGGAACAGAGACGGTCGGTCCAGGGACGGTCGTTGTCACAGGAATGAGGTCGGTAAGAGTGAGCGTTTCTGTTGTTGTCGAAACCACCGTCTCGGTCCTGACAGATGTAGTTCCAGGCACTGTTTAGCAATCAGCATGTCTGTAGTACATCGCTCCGGAACAAACAGAAGGAGGAACGCGATGCTCGAAGACGTGACAGATATCAAAAGAAGCAAGGCGAAAAGATTGCATGGTGTGGATGTATGACTTACATGTTTCAGTAATAGTCTCATAGTTCGTAGTGGTGTAGGTGGTAACCGAGATATAGGTCGATGTTGAGATGCTGACCGTCGTAGAAACGTCAGTTTGGGTAGTGATGTCGGTTGTCGTCGCCGTGGTCGTGATGAGATCGGTAGTTGGTACGAGAGTCACTACCGTTGAGATTATGGTCTTCGTTGTATATTCTGTGATTGTGTTGTTGACGGTTGTTGTAGGCCCGGTCACAGTATCATAATCAGTCTTTGTAATGGTAGAATTGTTGACATGAGTCACAGTACTGGGCTGCGGAACAGAGCAGTACTCGGACGAAGTAACCGTTTCGTGCTCAGTCTCAGTTTTGTGCTCAGTCTTTGATAGTCAGCAATGGTCAGAAGCATCTTAGGAATGGCCATACCTCTGTGACAGTGACGTTCTTCGTATGGGTCACAGTTAGGGGAGGCGGGACGGCGCAATATTCAGAAGACGTGACAGTGACTGTTTTCGTTTCCGTCTCTGTTTCGGTCTTTGGAGGTGGTGGTCCAGGAGGTGGTGGTGGATGCGATGGAGGTGGTGGAGGTGGTGGTGGCTTTGATGGTGGAGGAGGAGGGGGAGGAGGCGCGTATCCACCAGACGTGGTTGCTTCCTCCGTTGAGGTGGTTTCCTCTGTTGTGTAAGTGGGATAGGCGTCTGTCGGATACGCGGTCGGATACGCGTCTGTGGGTGAGGTGTCGTATGCAGGCAGTGAAGTATTGTTATCACCATATCCACCACCTTGCGCGACAGCTATGCTTGTAAAAGCCAGCAGAAGGGGCCAATGGCTGCGCATCTTGAAGCGAAAGACTGCTACGCCGGCTGAACGAGTGGCACACGGCTTGGAGCTGCACGAGAAGGTTAGACACGTGATGTGATATGCTTGAAGTGACCAGAAAGCTATCTTGACTGAGGAAGTACCATACAGTGTCAAGCGCGGCACTAGGCAAGGTGCGGATTGAAGTAAGGGGAGGATCAGGAACGACTATGTAGGGTACCAATGGGGGCATCACATACCTTGCGACGAAAGATGGGCTGGAGGCTCGAAAGAGGGAAGGAAGCAAGCAGGAACGGATAGCTATAAGACGATGACGAAGCTAGCTGCCGACCTGCATATGACGGTGGGAACAAATCCTTTGGCGAGGCTGGCAGCAGCCAAGCTTGGCCAGTAATCCTGTGTGCCAGGGTATGTAAACATCAGGCCGGAAGCAGAACAACCAAGCCGAAGGCATAGATCTACTCGACCGCCTGCCAAATGACGAACACCCGGGCTTGGTGGCAGCATTGAAGTATACTCAGATTGCCTAGACCTTCTTCAAGCAATACGGCCGGCACAGCTCAATGGCGAAAGGCCGCCACAGAAGCCAGGGTCGCAGTGAGACCTAGTAGACTTCCAAGACGTGGTGTCGCATTCAATCCGCATGATGAAAACCGCCGGACAGATGCAAGTGACGCGGGATATTATCCAACCCAGAGGCCTGAAGACAAGTAGAGAATCGCATCCATGGCGGTTGCTGACATGGTTACTTCTGAGGCCGCGTAAAGTTAGCTCGTTACCTTGCACAGAGTAATGGCCTGCAGCCCATCATCACTAGCGATAGCTTTTGGCGCCAGACGGGATCCGATGAGGATGGCATTCTGGGGGCCGAAAATGAGGAGCGAAGCTCGGAGCAGAAGGGCGCTCCTTGCACAGGTCCGCTGGTGCCGAGCGCCATACTCGCACTGGCTACACGACTCTAATTCCCGAATCCGTACGAGCGTGTCTCTTCAAGGGTGGGTCGCGCAGGGTGACAACAAGAGTGATTGTGTGTTGCAACGTGTGAGAGGTGCATGCACGTGAGAACTGATGTGCGTGCTGTGTGGGCAAGTGGGGCGGCGGCTCGAGCGATTGGGCCGTTGGCTTCCGCTGAGTAAGGCGATCGAGCGCGCCAGCCAGTGAAGCTCCACCTGTCCGCGGGCCGTCAAGGCTTCCCTCGAGGTCTGCCTAACCAGCCACCTCAGCATGCAGCCTATCTGCGGCCCTGGTCAACAACGATTGCCATCCAGACTCTCGATTGAATGCTTCGCGATCCTTCTCCGCCCAGTCTCCTCCCAATGGGAAGGCCGGTGGCAACCACACAACCTGTGCCCTTTCACCGGTATTGCCACGTCCAGTCATATGCCGGCTCATCCACATGCAATATGCAACCTCAGGGTGCCCTGGCGATGCTGTGCCTCTACCCCGCCTGAGGCACGGGCGCAATACACCCACAACAAGCAGATGGGCTTGACGCCTAGAACGGCCAGACAAATTGATGTTTAACCGATCCAAGCAACGGCAATGAGGACCTTGCGACTGTCGTCCATGGAGCGCTGATGCGCATCGCCCACGCAAGTCGCGGCTCAATGCCAGTCCGGCACAACCAGCTGACCTACGCTAAGTGGTTGCGGTAGCTGACAAGGTGTTGGTGTTTTCGATGGCTTGTGCCTCTTCTTATCTGTAGCCTCCTCTTATCAACTGATGGCCCTTCACTTCGGCTGCCATGCGCCGTGGTCAAGTTGCGACTATGTTTTCCAAGAAACGTGCCGAGCCAATCCAGCTGCCGCCCACGCCTTATGTTCTGGTTCCCAGTGGGCAGTACGAAGGAAATGACGGGAGATGGTCCACGTTCTCCATCAACATTGGCGACGACGGCAAGAACAACAGTAACGGCCAGAACTTCAGAGTACTCATATCCACTTCCTCGCCAGCCACCCTCGTACCGCAACAGACCGACTGGTGTTACGTGCCCAGCCCCGAAGAGTGTGCAGCGAGTCGAGGTATCCTGTCATACGAAGGCCGTCAATCTTTAGGCTTCGATGATGATGAATCTCCACAATGGCAGAACGCAGGAATTTACACAATTCCAGTACCGGAGTGGTACAACGACACTTTACAGGCAGAAGAGCCAGCCGCAGTTTGGGGTGTGGATCATGTGGGTCTGGGTGAGAGCTCACCACAGAGCTTCATTTTGACCGAGCAGTATGTCGTGAAGTATACCGTTACAAACTTCTACATGGGTTCCCTTGGGCTCGCTGTCGGATCTACCGGACCCCCCGGCGCACTCAAACCGAACTTCTTGGACAACATGTGGGGAAGTGCACACAAAATTGCCAGTCGGTCGTTTGGATACACGGCTGGTGCTTATTATCGTAAGTACATCATTGGGGGGGTACCAGAGTTACCACCTCGGTGAGAAATGAACCTAGCAAATTCGGATGCTAAGACATGTAGGCAACAACGACAACGGGGTCACAGGAAGTTTAGTACTGGGAGGTTACGATAAAGCACGACTGTCCGAACAAGGTGTCTCGATCAGTATGCCTAGCCGGCAGAACAACACGCTTGCTGTTGGCGTCATTGGCATACTCTGGAAGCCAGATCAGGACGCCGAAACCAACACGGCTTCTCTTACTACTGGAGCGTTTCCTGCGACCATTGACTCTACATTACCATACCTCATCCTGCCTGATGATGTCTGCGACGAATTCATCATCAAATTCGGTCTGACCTTCGACAATCAGACCCAAATGTATACTGTCAACGATACAGCGCGCCAGCAGAATCTACGAATGAACCCGACTGTATCATTCAAGATCAGCGCCAGTGCTGATACCGACAGCGCAGACTTTGCGGACATCGAACTACCATACTCGGCACTGGATCAGCAAGCCAGCTTTCCACTCTACCTTAACGCGACCCGTTACCTTCCCATAAAGCGATCACAAAATGGACGATTCGTACTAGGGCGCACGTTTTTGCAGGAAGCGTACATTGTGGTCGACTACGAACGTCAGAATTTCACGGTTGCCCCGGCCACATTCTCTGATCCTATGCCAAATCCGAGCCTGGTCACCATATTCGATAGGTCTTATACTGGCCTACCAGAAACACCAGAGTCTGGGTCTGGAAGTGGGCTATCGGCAGGCGCAATCGCAGGGATAGTTGTCGGCATCGTTGGCGCTTTCATCATCGTCGCAATCGGTGCATACCTTCTATGGAGGAAGAAGCGCCGGGCGGCAAAGGAACCCGAAGAAAACACCGAAAAGCCGTCTGAGATTGACACAACGTTTGCTGGTACTGAGATCAAGTATCGTCGTGTCTCGGAACTCACTGGCTCCGAAGCTCCTCATTCACCCAAAGACCCTGCGGCAGGCTACTACAGTGTTGATCATAAATCCTATCCACCCATCAGCGAAATGTCTCCGGAGAGTACCCCCGCTGAGCTTTACAGCCCTCCGCCAGATGGTCGCAATTCACCCGATTACTTCTCCAATGGCAGGTATAGTGTACCTCTTGCAGAACTCCCAGGCGGAGATACGATCAGCTCAATGCCCAGTAAAAACTCAGACATGAAGCCAGTTCAGAAACCTCCGCACAGCCGAAGTCCAAGTGACAACTCACTTTCGACCAATATCGATGAAGTACTAGCAAAGAAGGCGCCTGAAGCGGGACCAGATAGCGAAGCCACAAGATCAGCAGTGGAGCCTGGAGCGCCAGCTACTGCTGAAGAGATTACCAAAGCAAAGGAAGGCGCACAACCCGAAGCGGACAACGATGCGGAAGAGGCGGCGATCGAACGACGGCCGTCACACACCAGAGGACTGAGCGACACAACCATTCAAAGCGATAGTACAGCAGTCTCGCAGCCAACACCCGAAGAGCTAGAGCGCTGGGCGAGAAGTGTAGACGGCCAAAGTCGGCCCATGTCTCCATCATGAACGACAGAACTTTCGACTTCCAACACTTCTGTGACTCAACATTTTCGGATCTTTTCTTCCTTTAGACTTTTGATATGTCTTACGTCAAAGTTTGCCTCTTGGCCAGTCTTTTGGTGTTATTGCAACACGTAGATAGTATTCGACCTTTCTTTCGGGATGTTCACGCGGAGACTATCAAGATACCCACTAGTACACTCTTTACGACTTTAATGTAATAGTACACTGCATCGCTATCTTAACGCATCGCACTACGTCCATAGCACCCCCAGCTTTTGAAACACTTCCGACATCTCGCAACAGCTTGCGTTCTCGTATAGTTCGCATCATGCCTCATTGGTTCTCGCGCAGTACATTATCGCTGAAGCAGTACGGCGTCCGCAACGCGACTACTCGCGTCGTATGCTCCCCACACCAGTGGCTGTCTCTTAAGCGCGGATCCTCTAGCTTCCGACATCTAGAAGCAATGATCGCTTCTATTGATCCCCAACATGCGTATTTCCGCCAGCGCAACCCGTTCGTCCCCACCGATCAGCATGCAGCGGCAATACTCTATTGCCGCGTCACTCGGCGTGATTGACCGTCACTGCATGCGTATACAACTCGGCTTGCGTGCGTGCGTGGTGGTTAGCATCCGAGCGGCACAGTCTAGCGCTGCGGGTGCGAAGGAATTATTGATCAAATCTCCACCTCCGCGTCCTTCTCTAGTCACCAACTTTAAACAAATGATTGAAAGTTACTCCTCCCCAACAATGAGGCTCAGCACTTTCCGTCATTCCATCGTCCCAATACGGAAGGTGCACAATAGTAGACTTACGCCACCGCTCTTTGTTCCAAAGCACCTCAGCGGCTGGCTAAAGGACCATGCAGCAGGCCTGCATGCGACTTATGTGAGAAAGCGGCACAGCCTGGTGTGAAGAAAAGCATTTTGGGGGCCGTCACACAAGACGTGGGTCGCATATTGGGCAGGATGGAAGTCAAGTCAGCCTGGTATGTTGTTGAGCATGATTGACGTGGCAAGTCGCAAATATCATACCGATCGTGGGATTAGGATGTTGCGATAGCGGTCAATTTGTGGGGCAAAGCCACACGGTGACTGTCAGAACGCGCTTACGTGGGGCATTCGAGAGAGTACGTTCGAACGTCTTCTGTAGTGTGGGTAATAAGATTGATGGCGGGCGTAAATTGGTCATAGTGGGCAAAGGCAAGGGCGCATTCTTGGCGTGCAAGCGTCTTGAATGGAAGATGCGCTGGTAAGCCATCAACACCGACCGAACGGTCGACAGATACGAACACATTCTTGTTCGTATTCACGCTACAGGTGTCAGCTCACAATGACGCTGCTCCCAATGTGTGTTGTGATTAGAATTGCAGCGACTACGCCGCAATCTATTGTTCATTGGCTGTGAACCTCGTTATACTGCCGGCCGTGGTACGCGGCGAGAAGCCGCTGCTAATGCGGGTACCTAGCCGGCGGTCACCTAGCCGGCGGTACCACTCAATTGGGATGATGGGATCGACCCGAGGCTATACTGCCGCTAGAGAACTGCAGGTCCATAATCTGCCAACATCGTGATTATATGTATTAGATCGCTCCACACCTGTGTTTGTATGGTGTCAGCTGCGAGTCTGCCGGGTCATGGTGAGTGGTCTGGCCACGGGGCCAAGCCTGGTATTAGTCCTCTCCCGGAACTTGTTCGTCCTCTGCAGCACCCATCTGAACAGCGAACTTCGAGCCTCGTCGCTGGATGGAGTAAGATTGCGATGGTTCAGCGCCGGACGTTGCAGATCCGATAGTTGGTGCCTCCCGTTGAGGTGTTGTTTCTGCCGATGGCTGCTGAGAAGCTGATGCTGACCCAGAAGCCTGTCCCTGGTTCAGGACGTTGGTGAACAAGCTCCACGAATCTCCCTGCTGCAGGAAAGACAGAGGCCACTCAATAGCGGATGCCCAGCTCTGGTCAATGGCCTGATGGCATGCCTTCGATACCCGCTGTCCCCAGCCCTCCATGAACCAGTATCGCGTCTCAGCCGCATGGAACATGGTCGTATAGTACAGGAGAATTACGATCGCACCTGACCTTCGCTGTTGAATAGCTTCCATGAAATCTGGTCCTAATTGCAGAGGCCAAAAGAATAGGAAACGTAGCTCCCGGTTATCCACTCGAGCAGGCAGCGATATCTGGAAAGCGGGCTCGAAGAGGGAAATGACAGTAAGATAAAGTTGTCGTTCGGCCTCTGAGAGATCCGTTCTCCCTTCAATGAATGTGACCAGTGCTGGTAATTGACTTTTCAGCTCTAGCAGCACGGGCTGCGAAGCAGTGGGTTCCAACGGATCTCTCAGTATCGGGCCGAGAAAAGAGTCCCTCACTGCCATTTGAGCGAGCGCAAGAACGTGTCCCATACCTTGCATGAGATGGAAGGCATTCACCAGACTATCAATGTCGTTCACAGGTGCAGTAAGAGGTGTCTGGGCCTCGAATCCCGTTGAAGCAAATACGCTGAAGGTGAGCAGTGTCGACGTAGCTACAATCGCCGGGGCGTCTTCGTCGGTTACGTTTTGAAGCTTCTCTCGAACTCCCCGAATGGCGAGATCTTGATGATGGATACCGCAAGCATAGTATGGCTGCCGTTGGTCTTGAGGTTGTTGATATGCTTTGTGTAGCGCCGCAAAGGCCAGAATCTCATGCATGAAGAAGTCATGTGCGTTGGCTTGTTTGGGAGCCTCGACTCTCCACATATGCCGAATGGTAGGTCGTTGGGACAGGGTATCAAATGCCTCTGTTGTCCAGTGGTGTCTAAAACAGTTGGTGATGATCCTGGCAATGGCCCAACTGACTTACAAGAGCTCCAGGTCCCGCAACCATAGCGACGACTGACTCGGTTGATTTCTGTGTATATATCTAGTCAAGAAGGGGTATGCGTCGGACTGCGAGTCGGAAGAATCCTCTTCCGAGATAGTCGAGACGGCCCTCGCTCCGGCTGCGGTCGACGGGTTGCGCGGGTAGGCCACGTGGGCAGACGATGCCGATGAACCCTGCTACACCAATGAGAAAAGAACGACTATGTTTCATGGCGTTTTATGGGGCATACAGGTATAGATCGGTCGAGCGGTGACTGATTCGTACGTCGTGATGCAGACGATGCGGAAGATGCCGAATGAGCTGACTGGGATGCGCTGGGATCCCAGACGACGAGGCTACACGGAACGCCATGGCGGGCGCAGTTGGTACACGGCTTGAGTTCATCACACTGAGCTACTTCAGTATCGAGTCCTCGTAAGCGTGTAATGCCTAGTTAGATGTTGTGTCCTACCTTGACATGGCGGGCTTTACATTGCTGGCAGCCTAGTCTGGACCTAGAGAACGTGATCGGGTCAGATAGGAGCGAACAGTGGTTTTGAGGTATAAAACGGGGATGCTGTGGCTCGAGGGTACGGGGTTGTGGGCGACGAGTGGTAGGAGTGTGGCGTGATGATTACGGACTTTTTGTGGCCGAGGCGCGGCATTGCAGCGAACTACCGTGACCCGAGACCAAAGCTTTGGGCCTCGACAGTGTGACCAACCGATCAGGCTATCGTCGCAACGGACCGTCTCGCTGTTTCAAGCCGCAGGATGAGGGAACAATGCGAATGCGAAGGTGAGGTACGTGTGGACGATGCTGTGTGTGGTGGGTCGGGAGAATCTTCGCGCACAAGGATGATCCCACACTATGCCACGTTCGCTCCAGACGATGCCGAATCGAACTTGACTGCAGCCGCGGCACACCTCGCATTCGCATTCCGGAGCTCGTAACGAGATAGATATAGTCTCCGACATGTGATGCGGTTGTGGTCGACGTCGCGATCCATTGGGTTGTGCGTCATCCGGCTTCTTCCGCCGCTTCAATCATCTCGCGTTCGCATCATAGCGTCATCCTCAAAAAGAACATCGAAATCGACCCTGACCAACGGTACGATGGTATAATGTCACCCGTTAAGTAGGAGTCGAGGAAGCACGAGCCCAGAAATACATGCGAGAGCCCCCCGATCTACAGACCACAGCGGACGCGTTTACACAACCTCCATCGTTATCAAACCTTTAAAGGCATACGTATGAGTCAAAAACTATGGAGAAAGAGCTTGGAGCTGGCGGGTCGATGATATGCCCAGGCAGAATTCTGCTAGGACTTCGGTATGGTACTCCATCGCCTCCTAAACTCATCCACGTTATCCAAATGTAAGATGCGCATCAACTTCTGCGATTGCAATGCATCGCATATTGCTTTGTTCTCTCAGCTCAGAGGGGTCATGGCTTCACGAAAAAGAACCGCGGCAAGCCAACTGTCGCACGGGGCGCCTGACCCCTATCGACATCGGCATCGTCGGGGTGGTCTTGTCGTTATTGCACGCATGCATGATACAAAACCTTCGTGTTGTGTAAGAACTGGGTGGTTACTTCTCGAACCATGCCAGTCGCGAACGTCATAGTGCAAAGAGCCTTGGCGAACAAATACCGACCACAGCACAGTCGCGGTACGAATTCCCGACTTGCCCCTTTGCGGCCTTTCATCCGAGTCATTGCTGAGTGCTGTGCAAGAACCGCTCTCTGAACAGAGAGCAGAGTGTGAACGCTATGTAGCAGCTGGAATCTGGGCGTGCACGTGTGCAGAGCAGAATGTGAGTATCATATGACCAAGGCGCAGTCAAGATCAGGTGTAGGATGGTTTGAATGGGGTTGGGACGTATTGGCTCTCTGAGCATGGAAGAGATTCACGGCCCGTTTTACGCTCACAGTGGCATTCGAACCATGGTTCTCTCAACAGTGTGGAAAAGGCCGCAGTAGCAGAAAGCACAAGGGCTCATCTTCCTAAGAAAACAAAATTCTAACCATTCAACCCACTATACAAATCACCACAACATTTACATTTCGATCCTTCGTCAGACGCAGGCAATGGATTCGCATCAATCAGCCGACTTGTTTGCGACGACAACGTCGTATGGATCTGTCGAACCGGCTGCAGACGTG